AAGTTTAAGACTGTAAATATGATCGGTTCATGTTCTCTGAAAAAGTGACTAAACATGCAAAAAGAGGTGAAAATTACACATGAATACAATACTTCTATTAACATTGATAGTTTCTTTGACAATCAAATTTATTTTATTCTTTTTTATCCATAAAACACGTTTGACATGTTTCGGCTTTTTTATTCACTTTCAATTTTGCAAGTCAATATTTGGAGAGAATGAATCTGAACAAAGACATTGTATTTTATCAAATTTCATATAATCTATATTGATGATCGATTAAGTTCCAATCAGTCCTTCATGCATCCTATTGATAGCAGAAGAAGTAAATCGATACCGGACCACTAGAAACTACCTGTATGCGGCAAGGCGTCCTTAGGAAAACTTTTGATATAGAAAATCAGCTAGTAAACTTTGTCTTTTTTGGCAACCAGGGTACGAAATTCATATACAGATTTCATGATTGCTTTATCAACAGTAGACATATGCAGGATAGGGTAGAGTAACTCCGCACAACTCCACTCAACAAAGAATAGCTCAATTGCTTTTTACTTCATTCCTTTCATTCCACAACACATTTCTTCTTCGACATATCTATGTCCTACATTACTTTCTGTTCTACTATTCATAAAAACTCATTTGTCATCAGCCGCGACAAACCCATCTTGGGTAAGGTAACAAGCTATAAATCCTCGTTATTTTAATAATTCTCAACTTTTTACCCATGGTCGACTTGTCAGACAAGGTAATTTTGAGTTCGTAGTAGCTTTGTTTCTCTCTTGATACTTTTGAATATACGTACATACATGTATTTAAATCTTCTTTTATTCTACTTTGAAAATAGAGAAAATTTTTGAAGATTTTCTCTTCGTTAGAGATTTAAATGGAAAAGAAGAACCATAATAAAGGTGATTAATTCATGCTTCTCGAAATTTTATTTCAATAATAAATAGTTGAATAATAAAATTAAACAATAAAACATTCATCTCATGTATAATAGATTCATTCTACTTGATCGAATAAAAAGCATTATTTTAAATCTAATATAAATTTTTCTTATTCAGTATGAATTACGTTAGAAGATGTTTTCGAATAAGATTGATATGCATCAAACTAATAAATAATTTATCCTTTTCAGTGATACAGTCAAATGTTTAGCATACTGGATTAAAATTTATTATCAAAAAAAATGAAGTGCTCAAAAAAAAAGAATGGTGAGGGAATTTATTTTATTCTGTCATTTTTTTTATTCATGATAGATCTCTTTTATTTTATATTAATTACGAATAATTCAATTAATAAGAGAAATAATTGATTCTCTACTAATAATTTCAATGAATATTATGAGCATTAAGGCTGATGGAGTATTCATTCGAATATACAGTGTATTATTCAAGAGAATTATTGCTAAAAATAATAATGATGAATAAACATAATATTAACATTTTATTCAAATGAGAATTATCAAGTCCGATGTTTGCTTTTATTCTATTAATAACAATCAAGATCAAAATCTAATTCAAGGATACTCTGATTCTATTGAGTATTCTCAGAAAATAAGTCTTTTTTTCCACATTATAAATTCGAGAATGTACAAACTTTGGCGTCTAATTTCAGATAACAAGATAATATTATTCTAAGTTTCCTCACGCAAGCTAAACGAATAAACCAAATATACGCAACATATTGTAGAGCAATCATTTTCTCACATTCTAAAAATGAAATCAACGAAATTTTCTATGATAACATGGAAAGAAAACATGTGAAAAGGAAAGCACTAAAAAAGAGATATATTAAAAGAAATATATCGAGTATTGAGAGAATTTTCGTAGCTCATTTCCAGTGATAGAATTTATGATAGATCTCTCAAAACTTTTGACATCTTTGGCAAATTATCAGACAATATCTGCTTCTTTTTTTTTATAATAGTATTATCTTTTTTAAATGATGAATATCATTCAGGTTTTTGTTTCATCTTGCTTAGCTTCTAATCGTTATAAATACCGCTGGAGATCACTCTTCTGCTTAAGTGTTCAATTATCATATTCTCTTCTCTAGCTTGCAGCAGAGACATAGTTGAGCACACAAATTGTGTCTTTTCTTCGGAAAAACAGGATGTTGTCAGCAAAACTTGTAATGCTGTGACAAATATCACGAAGATATAATATCATTTTTCTAAAAGTCGTGTTTGAATACGACTTTCTTTGTCCATCGAATGTAATCGAATCTTGGATCAATAAAAGCCCGAATTTTTACCATCCATTACGAAGAAAAGCAGTTACAATCATTTTCAACACGGCGAGAGCTTCTAGCTTGAATACATGAAGCAAACAACGAAAGTCGAACCTACATATATTCATTTTACAAAGATCGTCACCGAATTGGAGTGTGGGTGTGTGAGTGTGAGGAAGAGAATGACGCCCACATACTCCACCCTAATAGTTTGGGTGCCGGTGTAAGTGCGGGTTTAGGCGTGGTAATAGCTTGATATAGGATCGGTTCGTTTCTTTTTGTTTTTGGAAGCGAAGCAATGCATCACATTTTAAGATTTTTGCACTGAACCAAGTTCAAATTGGAAGACAAGTGAAAGACTGTATTTTGAGATCAGATGTAGACGAGACCGGCTTAAGACTTTTTGGAACCAAACCTATCTGACTCTTAGGGACCTCAAACTCCACCAATTTTCGTTCAGCTCAGTTGCAATCCGAACTGATGCCATATTTCTTAGACGTGGTCGTCAGTGTAGATCTCCGTGAAGATATTCTCTTCAACATCACTCATACCCTCATCAGCTCGCGCACATCATACACCAGATCCACACCAACACTTTTGAATAGAAAATGAAACATTTTTAACAAAGTAAAAGGATATTGTTCTTAAAGATTTGTACAATTTTCACCATGTTGGCTAAGAAATGCAACTATGAATTTTTGTTGAACTGAAAACACGACTTTAAGTAAATGCTTTAAGATGATCATGTTGATTTCTCGACGATTGATATTTAATTTAATCATGCAAAATAACTTCGACAAACAATGTAACTTCGGCACGACATATATATGTATATCATGTATTTATTTTTTTTTGAAAGTTTCTGTTCTACTTTAGTGTTATTTATTGATTTGTGAACAAGTTTTATAACTAAACTTTATAATGATCCTCGAATTAGCGACTTATTCCAGTGGAAATAAATTACATGAAAATTTTGGTTATGGTTGAGCTGTTTATAACAGCTTCATTATAATGATTTTCGAGCAGAAAAGTTAAATAAATGCGGAAATCTCGAATTGAAATCCGAGGGTTATGTGTACTTCAAAAAGTGAATGAGACAGATGAGTCATCCTACAATGTGTGGACATCAAAATTATCCTTGCAAACTTTTTCTATAAAACACTTGATTTCTATTGGCTGCTGCTCAACCAATGGGGTTTGGGGACAAATGAAGTACAGATTCGAGTTCTCCGCCCCTGAAAACCTCGAAGTATCCTCTCCATGATCGGAAGATAGAACTGTAATTGTGGATCGATTGGACCGTGGACAAAAACAGAACCAATTTCCGTTGAATTATCTTTGCAATAGGTGAGTTAGTCTTCTTGTTTCTTTATGCTTTATATACCATTTTGTAGCTCGTGAAATTCTCTATCGAATGGTATATAATAGTTGGAGTTTTATTTGATTATGATAGGAAAAGTTTTTTACGAAAGTGCGAATAGGTCGATTTTCCTATTTGAACCCGTAGGGAAAAATCAGTATTTTTGCAATAACTCAGGAACGGCTCGGCCAATCCTTCTCATCTTCGACCTCGACCGAGATATTGTTAAGACTGAACCGTGTAGAAAATTTCATCGCAATCGGACTCTCCTTTCAAAAGTTATCATGTAAACGGCCGGCCGGCCAGACGGACACACTGACCGATTCTAGAGTGTACTCACTTTTTGAGTATACAAAAACACCAAAACAATTGAACAGAAACGATGTATAAATAAATGTGGAAACCTCGGATTTAAATCCGAGAGTTATGTCTACTTCAAAAAGTGAATGAGACAGATGAGTCACCCTAAAATGTGTGGATATCAAAATTGTCCTGGCAAACCCTTTCTGTAAACACTTAATTTCTATTGGCTATTGCTCAGCCAATACGATTTGGAGGCAAATACAGCTCAGTGTTTGACATGAGGTCGCCATATTCAACGTGATTTGACCCGAGTCGGGTCAAAATTACGTTGATGGTTGCGACCTCATGTCGAACACTGATACAGCTCAGATTTAAACTCTTCATCTTGATTTACCCTAAGCAACTCGTTTTTCCTATAACTTGATTTCTATTGGTCACTGCTCAACCAATGGGATTTCGAGGCGAATGGAACATAGATTCGAGTTCTCCATTCTAGAAAACCTCAAATTATCATCTCTGTGTTGGGAAGATAGAGCTCTAATTGTGGATCATATAGAGCGTGGACAAAAACAGAACCGAATTCCGATTAATTATCTTTGCAATAGGCGAGTTTGCTTTCTTGTTTCTTTATGTTTTATATACCATTTTGTAGCTCGTGAAATTCTCTATCGAATGGTATATAATAGTTGGAGTTTTATCTCACTATGATAGGAAAAGTTTTTTATGAAAACAGAGAAGGGTCTATCTTCTCATAGGGAAAAATGACAATTTTTGCAATAACTCAGCAATGGCTCGGCCAATCATTCTCATCTTCGAATTTGACCGAGATTTTGTAAAGACTAAACTGTGTAGAAAATTTCATCGCGATCGGACACTCCTTTCAAAAGTTATCGTGTTAACGGCCGGACATACTGACCGATTCTAAAGTGTACTCACTTTTTGAGTACACAAAAATCTTATATTTTTGACAAACTTGATCCTCTAAGGATTTCTATATTTTTAAAAAGTCGCAATCAGAGGCCAGTCATCAATCTAAAATTATTAATGTTTCATTTGAAGATGATATACAAGACTAAAAAATTTTATTTTTGGTTTTTTTCTTTTTCTAAAATAACTTTTTTATTAAACCACAAGAATAATGATATAAACGAGTAAAAGCATAATCAAAAGTCATATCATTAAATGTTAATGATCGATTTTTTGAAGCATTAATAAAAGATGTTGATTGTTGTATCATATCGAGTTTTTCTTTAAAAACACCAGCACCAATTTCTTTATTTATTAATTGTTTGAGTCGTTCACTAGGAAAAAAACACATCAATTCTTAAAAAAGAAGTTTTCTTACCTTGAATATTCTTCTATTGTGTTATTGTTCGAAATTAAGCATACACCAAGTACAAATGCATGTAATGACGACATAGGAGCTTCGCGATCATTTTCACTTGATGGATTACGAATTTGAGAAATAAACTTAAAAAGAAATAAATTAAAACGATTCTTTTTATTAAAAATTTTACATACATATGAAATGGTGCTTGGTATTAAAACAAATTGTTGTACAGCTAATGCAAAATGTAATAACCATGTTGATAAATAAATGAGGACAACAATACGACTATTAAATGAACTTGAAGGCTATTGATAATGAAAAAAACGAAATGTAAAATTTAATAACAAAAACTTTTTGTTTAATTCACATTTTTTAATAAATCAATTGACATTTCCATTAATGTTTTAGTACCTGTTGGTGACTGATCAACTGCTGATATAACATTAAGTAATTTTTCTTTTGGTTTTGGATTATCAGCAATTAAATGTGCAAGTAAAGTAGTGGAACACCATGATGCAACAGCATCTTTACTTGTATAACCAATTAATAATAAATGACCTAATGAATATCGATCAGCAGCTAAATAAAATCAAAACAATTTTGTTTCTCCTTTGAAAAAAAAAACTATTTAAATATTCCCACTTTCAGGAAAAAATGATTCAATAATCGTTTTTTTTCCAAAATCATTTTTGTCTTTTTGTATAAATAGCATTGAATAAAATATAGAACTTTTAGTCGGAGTGAAAATAAATGATTTTCACCATTAACCATGGTATTTACAAGATTAAATAAAACCCATCTAGAAAAAATTTTGTTTTTATAAAAAATGAAAAATATCTAAAGATTTCCTCACTGTTGAATAATACCAGATATATGCAATTCTGAATCAAGAAATTGTTTATTATCAATATTATCCGAAACCATATCACCAACTGTACTACTTGTCTATAAGTATAAAAAAATAAATTGATTGAAAGAAAAGAACTCAACTGACTTCATTTAAGATATCAATAGGAATATTTAGAATTTTTAATATTCCGAACAGCTGCTTTCAGATTTATATAAAAAAAATTAACAAGTCCTATGCTAAGAATCGATATAATATATTTTCTTTGTATCGTATTTTTCAAATTTACGTTGCCATTCGAAAATAACTTGAGTCGAATTTTCTGGTGATACAAGTGTTTGAAATATCTTAATATAAACAAAAATAAATGTGCAAAGCTCGGACGTAAATCCGAGATTTATGTGTACTACAAAAAGTGAATGAGACAAATCGGTCATCCTAGAATGTGTGGATATAAAGATTAACCTGGCAAACCCTTTCTATAAACACTTGAATTCTATTGGCTACTGCTCAACCAATATGCTTTCTGGGTGAATACAGCTCAGATTTGAACTCTTCGCCTTGAGTCATCCTCAGAAAGTCGTTTTTCCTATAGCTTGATTTCTATTGGTTACTGCTTAACCAATGGGGCTTCGAGTCAAGCAGATTACAGGTTCGAGTTCTCCATCTCAGAAAACCTCGAACTGGTATCTCTGTGATCGGAATATAGAGCTCTAATTGTGGATTGATTAGAGCTCAGACAAAAACAGAGTCGATTTCCGTTTATTTATCCTTGCAATAGGTGTGCTAGCCTTCTTATTTCTTTATGTTTTATATACCATTTTGTAGCTCATGAAATTCTCTATCGAATGGTATATAATAGTTGGGGTTTTATTTTGAGTATGATAGGAAAAGTTTTTTACGAAAGCGGGGATGGGTCGATTTTCGCATAGGAAGCCATAGGAAAAAATGAGTATTTTTGCAATAACTCAAGAATGGTTCAGCGAATTCTTCTCATCTTCGAACTCGACCGAGATATTGTTAAGACTGAACTGTGTAGAAAATTTCATCGCGATTGGACTCTTCTTTCAAAAGTTATCGTGTAAATGGACGGCCGGCCTGCCGGACACACTGACCGATTCTAGGGTGTACTCACTTTTTGAGTATACAAAAAGGGTATTTATGATTTTTATTAAAAATAAGTTTTTTTTTTATTTTTTACTTTTAATATAAGAAGAACATTTTTCGTTTTATCGAATTTTCGTTTTTGATCAATGAAATCAAATTTTTAAAATTTCTTCAAATGTCCAACATCGAATTCTTCATAGAAATCATGTTGAATTTGTTCAGTTTCTAATAATTTGTATAATATTGTCAAATAATATTCAATAAGTATTTATAATAAATGTAAAAAGTCATTTTATGGAAAAAAAAATTATTAATAATTTACTTTCATAATTATCATTTTCTTGAAGAATAATTTTGTTTAAAAGGGTGTGGATGTGCATAGGTGTGGGCTGTAAGGGTGGGTGTTGGTGTGTATGGATTGATGTAAGATTCACACCGACACCCTGATTCAACAGTAATTATTAGACGTTCTTTATTCATTTTTTTTAAATTTTAATTGAAAGAATTTTTTAAAATTTTATTATCGAAACTGACTCTCTCTTTATTCCTCTTCATCTTTTCGTAGAAAACAATAATAATAAATACTTCAGATAGTTTCTTAATTAATAACCTTTTATATCTTTAATTAATACACATCATTACTATTTCCTATTGTCAAAAATGAGACATTGCTTTTATATGACATCTATTTTAATTATTTTTCTTATCGAGAAACATTGGTTTATATGTTTCACCAATAATTTTTTTTTCCTTTCTCTACACATTAACAATGATAGTGTTCCTCAACTGCAGTAGTACCTGAAACTCTTTATAACGTCTTCGATTTTCTTGAGGGTATGGGTCTCTCCACAGTCATCTATACATCCACACCCACACCCTAAACATTAATGAAAGTTAGTAGAAATGTAATGGAAAATCAATGATAATATAAGGCTTGCACAAATTATCGTTAATGCTGTAACGAATTTTTATAAAGTTGGATCTTGAGGGTGTGGGTGTGGGTGTGGGTGTGGGTGTGGGTGGGGTGTGGGTGTGGGTGGATGTGGGTGTGGGTGTGGGCGTGGGTGTGGGTATGGGTGTGGGTGTGGGTATGGCTATGATTGAAACGTCATGCAAACCTACACCCACACCCACACCCCACCCACACCCACACCCTCACACCCACCCACACCCACACCCACACCCACACCCACACCCACACCCACACCCACACACCCACACCCATCTCTGATAAGTACCACTAATCAACAAAAAGAAGCCACCAGACAACATGATAGAAATGTGTTGCTTCGGTAGCAAGAATTGGACATTGCAAATATGCAAAATGAGCTCCAAAAATATATGGCAACTCAACGATATCAACAACAATTACTTTCCACCAACATCGAGAATATAGGTAAGCTATTGGAAACACTCAATGGCACAATAGCATCGAGTCATGTTATTTCTGCACTGGTTCATGCAAAAACATTCGATGCAATAGGACAACTTGATGGCCTACGTAGTGCACGCATCATTCGTTTTCTTTATGAAATTGGACAGCTTACTAACACAAATCAAAGTCATGCATTGGATATTTTATCAATAGAGCTGATCAACATTGACAGAAGCGCATTCAAAACTGTATCCAAAATTGGAACTTTATCCTTGGTTAGTGTCGTTTTGCGAGAGTGTGCGCTCAACAATACTCGTGCACAAGATGTCGACTTTTCATCCGCTCAATTGGAAAAAGTGAATTTTTCATCGTCTCAACTAGTCTATGTTAGGATTTCGAATATCACGCTTCACAATGTTGACTTTTTACACGCCCACTTGAGCTTTGTCGATTTGTCAGCTGGAGAGTTCAAGAATATTAACTTTTCATCTCTCAATCTCAGTAATGTCCATGTCTCATCTGCTCGACTCTCTAATTCCAATTTTTCATTCGCTCGACTTCAAAATATCGATTTTTCATCCGTTGAGCTGCGTAACGTCGAGTTCTCATTCACCTGGTTTCTCAATGTAACGTTCAAATCTAGCATGCTTCAATATTTGCAGTTTCACACTGCGGTACTAAGTAACTAAAAGTCCAGTTTAAATAGCTTTACGCACCTACTTTCCCACTGTACATTTAGGCTTCGTTGACTTCAGCCATGCAAACATTTCTCAAACAACATTTGAGCAAAGCCAATGCTGTGGCGTCGACTTCAGTCATGTTAAAATATCGGGGACAACATTTTTACATGCAAACGCCAAAAGAGCTGTCTTAAGATATGCTAAAGTGACCAACGTTGATTTTAATCAATGCAAACTATGTGAGACTGATTTTACTAATGCCATTATCGAAGATAGCCCACTATCTTGTGCTCTCTCGATTAGAGACACTCTATTCCCTAATAGAATACGTGGTCGTGATTCGAATTTAATCAACGATAGCCAAGTTGATTGCAACATATCTCTGATCAACCACTGGAAACTACAAATTGGTGCAGTGACTACGGTTGACACTGCCAATGAATGTCATTTCTCGCTGTTGTCCTATGATATTGGCGCGATTATGTTACGACGAATCCAAATAGCTAATATTTGGAATTCTGTTCTGTAGCCGTTCTCACAAGTCATTTTCGATTCGCACTTAGGAAAAGATCCATCCATACAGCTCACGGAAATGGACAGCGTAGAAGAAATTTGAGTAAGCTTGTAAATGTTCGCAATCACCATGACATATTCTTGTATTAAAAAGGTTCAACTCAAAGTAGTATCACGATGGAATTGCATAAAAATATACAAAATCGGGAGATTTTGATCAAATTCGAAGCACAACCTAATACAATTTACACTAATAACAGCTGGACTGACAGCATTAAACTATTTATTGACTACGACAAGCAATTGGCATATTCATGAACTATGCAACCAGAGATTTTCTAAGGGCAGGCATCTTCTCCTCGTTCAATCAGATTTATTTTCCTAATCTCGCTATTCTGGTTGCTAATAGAGTTTGCGTTTATTGGTAGGACTTTCAATCGATAGCTTTAACGTACATGTCCAGCGAAAGCTCTCCCTTCCAAAGAAATCTAGAAAATCCTTACCGTTTCGTATTGATAGGTTTAGGAAACTAACTAGATACTTCACTAACAAAATCGATGTTTCAGTCACATGCAAGAAATTCACTTTAAGTGGTTACTTTTGACAGAGAAGATTTTCGAATATAGCAGAGAAACAGTTACCAAACTTTAAGAATTATAACGATTTACATTGACACAACTGTTGAGTTATAACGATTTACATTGACACAACTGTTGAGAATGACATTTTCTCGAAGTGAAATACCTCAAACCACGAAATCGTGGGAAATTCGAGGTGTGGTTGTGGGTGTGAGTATGGGTGTCGATTAAATAAAGCTTAACTCTCTACCCCTTACTCCGGCTCACATCCTCTCCATATTCTCAGTCTCCAAAAGAAAGAAATAATTACTCTTTCTCTTTGATGTTGGACGATGATGTTGTCGACGACAACGACGACTTGATGATATTGATGGCTGAAAGAAAAGGAAAAAAATAGTTAACGTTAAGGGCTCTCTAACAATGGATTCACCATTTAGAATGATCCATTTGAGCTGAAACTTCAGGTATGGGGGACGCTAGTGAGAAACGTCTTTGATAAAAATTTCAACCCGATATGTTCTTCTAGACTGAATTTGCAGCTTACTCTTATTCCTTTCAGAAGAGCCCTTATAACTTCGTTATTATACAAGGTACAGACCTCGAGATGGTTTGAAAAGTTAATGCCAATATCAGTGCGCAGTTGTTCATTGGGCAGAGCTTTGAAATATACGCTTCTGTTCACTTTTTGGGTGTGAGTGTGGTGTGTATGATGTGGTCAACGACAGCTACAGCTACGCCCACACCCACACCTTCGTGTTTCTTCCTACATGCTCTGAGTTCGTTCAGACTGGACGAATAAAATGGTTTATGCAACAACGATAAGAATATTTTACTGCATCGTGTCTTCGCTGCAGTTGGGCAACTAATTTCTCAGAGTGAAGTATTAGCCAATATTTTTAACTGAATACACGGTATGTTGAGTTTTTGCAATAGCTAGTCGCAGAAATTGAAACATATTCAAGATAATACTTCTTTATCAGATAAGCGAACGCAAATATAAATTTGAAGATGAAAACATTGCAACAGAAAAGCGTTTTTAAGTTTTATTTGACCGATCTCAATTAACAATTTTCTTTCACGTAAAATGAAGCGTCATTGCTTTAGAATAATTCTCATGTGGCCGCTTTTTTAGCAACTACGATCGCACTCTGGTTCGTAATTGTACGTAGTTGCGCGCAACTGCGCCTAACCACGTTTTTCTTTCTAACTGCACATAACTGTGTGATAATTTGATCTTAATCGAAAAGATGCGATGACTTTTCCATTGGAATCGAATAAAATCGATTACTAGCGAGTGCCATCGATTGTCTACGATTTTTTCTTAATCATTTAGCATCAATTTCCAAGAGCAACCTATTGTCATCGATACTTGGTGACTTTTCCCCTCTCTGAAATCAATTAATTTTTATTAGGGGCTGGAAGTTCCCGTTACCGGATAACTGGTAACGGGACAGTTACCAATTACCCGGGAACGGTAACGGCTCGTTACCAGTTACACGGGAACGGGAGAACGAACAGGTGAGTGTCTACCGTCATCAACCCCGTAATCTCGGTCCTTAAGTCCTACTATTGGGGTATCCTTGGGTCCTAAAGTTCTATTATTTAGGATACCCTTGGGTCGTCAAGTCTTACTATTGGTGGTACCCTTGGGTCCTCAAGTCCTACTATTGCGTGGTACCCTTGGGTTTCCAGGTCCTACTATTGAGAGAAGGGTACTGTTGGATCCTTAAGACCTGCTATACTACACTTTCCCTACATAAAATGAAAGAGAACCCAGGTCAAAAAATCAGACATCAAGTCTTGTACGATCGGGTGAAATCATACAAAAACCGTGATCTCAGAAATCTTACATCAAATCGTACTATAAGATTCTTATAAGATCTTATCGTGATATAAGATTTTCTATAATCTTACAGTAATATGTTACAAAATAGCAAGATCGGTCAAGCATCTTAACGTACGACTTGCTGCAAGAATTCTGAAACCACGAGTTTCGTACGATTTTTCGTCTGATCTTACAAGATCGTGCAAGATCAGGTGTACGATCGTGTAAGAACTTACCGTCTGCTTGTTTGACTTGGGAAGAGCTCCTGAAATCTGACTGGTCGAAAAAATGGAGCAATCAGATTATGAGATTCTATTTCTCGGTGTTATGGAGCGTGGAGCTCCATACATATACCCCTCGTTCAAT